ACACTCAAACCTTCCACAGATTTAAACCCCTTTTCCACAGTACCACACCTAATTGGGCTCCTCAACAATTTGTGATCTTAAAAGATGTTGATTAGGAGGGATTAATTTCAAGGAGAGACCACCAACATCTCGGTGCTACGGCCATGAGAACAGGTGCGTGAATTTGTCAAAGCATAGGAACATGTCCTCTCAAGGTTAAAGTTGTCTGGGAAAGCCACTTTATACTTCAGGGAATATTGCAATTGGCCATAACACAGAAACACTAGAAAAGAACTGACCCCATTCCAAGACATGGGAGAGTTTTAGAGAGAAGTGCACACAGCCGAACGTACGAGAGCGGAGGATTCACTTCATTGCTCGTACAAATAAGGATATCAAGCTTTGAACAGTGAGGCGAGGCTGAGCAGCCGAGGTCATCTGAGAGTCAGAGAAAGGCAACTTCTAATGAATGCAAACAGATCCAGAGTCTGTGAAGACGGGTAGGGCAGTAACCCAAGTATAAATTAGAAAATAAGAAAATGTAGGAAGAGGACAAGCTGAAACATCACACCAGAAATCTTAAACAGCATTAGCCACAGTTACACAAGCGGCTGAAGGAACAGGAGAATTCAGATTCAACCAGACTAACATCACAAGTTAGTTAGAAATTCTATTACAAACACAATTTTAAAAGTTGAAAATTGTTTCACTACATTCAGAAAGTCGCTAGTGACAAACGTAACCGTGGTTCTATGACTTAAGTAGAAGACCTCCAGAGGCAGTGCTGAAAGCACTAGTGGAAAATCCCTCATGCTCGCGCTTGACTGAGAACAGAATAACAAAGTTGTCATCTCGTGACTCATGACGTGTCTTGAGCTGTAATAACCCCCTAACATGTCATCTCGACCTGGATTGGGCCACAATGAGACACTACTGAATCCATTACTCCAGCGCAAACAAGGAGCACTCACTGATAAAGCATGGAGTTCACTCACACGCTTCGCTGTTGTAATGGCCAAGAGAGATGCGGTCTTAAATGACAGCCATTTAATATCGGACTCTGATATTGGCTCAAATGGGGGCAGACAAGGAATCGAGAACAATATTCAAATCCCACGTCAGACTCTGCACACCACGTTGAGGACCCAAACGATTCGCTCCTTTCAGGAAGGCAACAATTAACCTGTCAGACCCAAGCAAAGAAGTACTAAACTCAGATCGATGAGCCACCAACGCCACCACATTCACCTTTAACGTGGAAGTTGAACAACCCGGCAATTGGCACCCAATTATTGCAACGTCTTTTTCCCAAGATAACAGCTCTGAGTTTTCTTCTATAATGCCTGATGAGTTTGGAGAACACCTGACAAGAGATCAGAGACCATTCATTCATACAGATGCTTCAGATTCGCAGCTCTGTTGGTGCTGCTTCTCCTCAGTTTTCCCCACTCATTTTCTATAGGTTTCAGGTCAGGGCACTGAGACGACCATGGCAGAAGTTTCATTTTGTGCTCAGTGAGATATTTGTGTTGATTTTTATATTTGTTTTGGATCATTGTCCTGATGGAAGATCCAACCACGGCCTATTATAAGATTTCTAACAGAGGCAGTCAGGTTTAGATTTTTTATCTGTTGGTATTTGATAGGATCCATGATGCCAATATCTGAACAAGATGTCCAGGACCTCCGGCAGAAAAATAGGCCCACAACATTAAAGATCCAGCAGTACATTTAACTGTGGGCATAGGCTTCCTTTTATCCCTGTTTGCACCAAACCCATCTGGTGGGTTTGCTGCCAAAAAGCTATTATTATTATTTTTTTTTAGTTTAAACTGACCATAAAAGCCAGTCCCGTTCGAAGTTCCAATCATGTCTGACAACTGAATATATGCTGGAGTTTGTTTTTGGATGAGTGAAAAGGATTTTTCTTGAAACCTTCGTGAACAACATGTGGTGATGTAGGGGCTGTCTGATTTTTTTTTTTAGGCTTTCTGACCTCAAGACTCAACTAATCTCTGCAATTCTCCAGCTGTGATCCTTGAAGAGTCTCAAACTCTCCTCCTCAACGTGCATTAGGACGATATAGACACACGTCCTCTTCCAGGCAGATTTGTAATATCTTTAGTTGATTGGAACTTCTTAATTATTGCCCTGATGGTGGAAATGGGGATTTTAATGGGGATTTTCTTACAGCCACATTCTATTTTGTGAAGCTCAACAATCTTGTTCTGCACATCAGAACTATATTCTTTAGTTTGAATTTTTTGATCAAAAAGATAAATGATGCAGATTTATTTTCACAGCCACCTTTGCTCATATTTACCAAGGGTGCCAATATTAGTGGTTGGGGCAGCCGATGGCCGATATATGATGCCGATTTTTTTTGGGCCGATATGTTTGGCTGATTTTCTTTTTTTTTCCCCATTCATCTCATAAAAGTGAGTTTGAGCAAATGATTATTGCAGGGTACAAGATAGCTGTAATCTAATAAGCACTGTGCTCACAGACACAAACGTTACTTTATCAGGCATTACAGGAAAGACGAAATGAAAATGACATCGAAGTTTTTCTGAAGACAGTCGGTTTCAAAGATACATTCATATAAAAACACCCGCGCTGCATTTTAATTTTGAAACGTGAAGCGCTCATTTTATTCAACAAAGTATAAGCCTTTTGGAAAATCTATTTGTGGCAGTCAGTTTTGATATTGTAACGAGCCGCCACAAATAACTCAATGTATAGGATCAATCGGTCGACCTTTACATACGATTCAATCAAGCGAGAATGAGAAAGGTCGAGATGACGTGTTAGGGGGTTGTTATAGCTTTAGACACGGCATGAGTCACGAGGTGACAACTTTGTTATTCTATTTTCGATCAAGGGATTTTCCACTAGTGCTTTCAGCACTGCCTCTGGTGGTCTGGAGCGAAAGGAAATAGAACTGAATGTTAAACATATTTCCTGGCCAGTTAAGGAAAATGCAAAAATGTTCAGTAAAATAAGACTTGGGAATGGGGAAATGCATTAGTAATTAGTTGTTTCTCATTTATGTTCATATTTTACTTTTTACTACATTTTACGCATTGACTGAGCTCACCCCTTGACATGGCACAACTTGCCAGCTTTTTTTTTTTAAACAACTCATGTTTCTATGGCTCTATAGACGCATTCTTAGTTGACTACGGACATGCATAAATAAAGAATATTAGTTTCGAATACAAGCGCTTTAACATGGCACCTCCACAATATAGCGAGAAACACAGCTGTGATTCTGAAGTGGTTGATTTTGCTGTCAGAGACATTTGTAAATGGACATAAATCACACACAACTGTCCTCCGCAATAACAGACTATAAATAATTGATGCTGTTGGTGGGCAGAGGGTGCTGATTTAAAAACTTGTATGCTAATTTGCTGCTGGTTAAAAATGATGTTCACAACAGATGTAGACAGTGTCGTTTTGAGCCATGACTGTTCTTCCTGCGACAGGCATGTCTCTGCCGCAGGGTTTCATTTGCAGTACACCGGTACATATCGATTAAGCAGAACACATGCAGTGCTTTTGTTGAGGGTGTTTGCTAATAAGAATAACCACATCATTGTTTCCACATCTTAATGGTGGGATGCTTGCTACAGATTAAAAGAAGTGACCCTCAGGGTAACTTTCCAAATTGTTTGTGTGTGGCTGTGGCTGAAACACTGAACTAATTAAATACCAGGAAGTGGCTTAAAGATAATCGAGGATGACAATTTGGCCTGCTGGAAGAGAAGCGTCTTCACCAGCTCAGTTTCAGTAAGTGAGTTTTGCTCTCCTCATAACTGACCAGGCGTTTAGGTTTCTGATGGCTTTTCACTCTTCTGTAACGTGAGTTTTGAGTGAATGAGCTGAAAGGAAACAGGCAGTTTTCAATCTGTCTATCATTCTCACCCAAGCTGTCAAAATCTGCTACACCTAAAAATATAATGACATGTCAAAATAACAAATCTCAGTCTTTTTGACATTACAAAGTCAAATCTTCAACAGCATACAGATGTCAAAAAGACTTATAATCTCATACATTTACATACCCCTGCAGAATCCGTTTGGTGTTTTTAATGTTTTCTTTTTTGCCTACAAAAAAATGTAATATGATATTCTAAAATATAATAACTTAAATTTGGGTTAAATTTTGGTTCTTAATATTGTGTGTTGTCTCCTCACAAATCAATGATCGACACCGCTTTGTTATCTACGGGCCCCTCAATTGTCCAGATTGTTCAAACTTTTTAAAAGTGTGGGGATCATTTCAAATGTGCAGTGAATGTTGGGAAATTAAAGAATTTACAGGACTTGGAGCAAAACAGAAACTCATACCCAACTATTGCGAAAGACTTCAAACAATCATTAGTTGCTTGCACCCAAGTTACAAACTTAATTTATACGAAAAAAAATAATAAATGATAAAATATTGAAATCTTAAATAAAAGCAGTGTTTCCATCCCATGTGTTTAAGAGAACAAAAAAATCATCACTTTCATGGATGGTTATGCACTTTTGTATCCACTATATATAGTTTTCACATTATGGACAATTTATTTGCATTTCTTTTGCAATATCCCAAATTCTACAAACATGTTGTATGTACATTTTTTAAACAGAATAATACCAACATAAATTTATTTATGTTTGTTATGTGGAATATACAGTATGTTAATATCTGTCAATGCTTTTATTATTTAAAAACCTTAGAGATTTTGCAAGGGGTATATAAACTTATGAGTGCAAGATTTGACCAGTGCAGCATAAATGACAAGCTCATGATACCTTATTTATTCTATATATTCCTAGTAGAACAACAGAAGTGACAGACCATTTCATTTGTTTGTGTTTGTTAGTGTAAACAGACACATTCTAGGTGCACAACAGTCACCAAATGAGGAAGACCAGTTTACATACACCGCGTCTGTCAGTCTGAAAATACAACCGTGTGTACTGATAAGAGATGTGGCTGTGAGAGAAAGATAGAAAAACGTGCGTCTTACCGTCGTGAAGGCCAGGAGCTCCTCATCATTTAGCTTGTGAACTGGATTATTCTTCTGAAAGTCTATGCTGCAAAGCAACAAACCACGATCAATCAAAAAAATCTGCACATAAAAGCAGCACACGTTTCATTTAGTTCACGGGTCAAGGACACAAATGCTTATTAAACATTGTGAATTGAAAAAAGTGGTCATATATCAATCCACAACCAAAAGAATAAAAACTAATAAATAATCCTTCCATTATGATTTTTTTTACTCTAAGGCATAAAAATATCATTTTTACTTAGAAGATTCTCTCAGTAATTTGTGCTTCATTTAATAAAAGAAATGAATGAAAACTAAGTTCAAGCAAGTACCATAGATCTTAAACCTAGGCTTCACTTTTTCTATGCAAAATAGTTTTTTTTTTTTGCATTTGGGTTACGACCCCCGCATTTCATGAAATTCGCCAGGCCTATTGTAGTAGAGGCATTAAAACAAAGTTGTCACAGACAGTCAAAAGGATATAATATGAGCTTGCACATCTCAACCCTCACTCAGCAGTTCAATTATTTAATCCTATTATTATAACCATAACTCAGTATTCTAGGTAACTTCAGCTACTTTCCTCAAGTTGTAACTGTCTGAATTTCTCATTTGAGTCACAGTTCTTTACGTTAGCCAGGGCTAGTAAATGTACGGCGGGCTGTTCTCATTCCAACAGAATGCCGTTAAACCGTACGTGCGGTTTTGCTCGACTGCACCAATGACGGTCCATAATTCACCTTCAACCATCACGCAGCCCAATTAAGGTCCCTGGCCTGCATAATTATGCCTTGCTAATTATTCCACGCCTGCAATTTGTCTCCTAGCAGCCAGTCGGGCAGGATGACGACCTTTCTACAACAAATAGGGCGCACAGGCTGGTACAAAGCTAATTAGAGAGCAGTGTAGGAGAACCCCACACCTCCTCCCGGGGCTGAGATGGGGGTGGATGACCATATGCTTTTTTTATTCAGGATGGAGAAGACCGCTATCAATGTGCACTTGGGCACAAAAACACATTCTGCAAGACGAAGGCTTGACGCAGCACTTCAAAGTTACTAAGATAAAACGAGACTCTCAATAACAATGATTTACACATCCCCAACATGATTAATGTCAAGCTGCAGCTTTAAAAGTCAGGAACTACTACAATGAAATACTACAGCTACTAAAACTCAAGGATGAGGAGAAAAAGAGACAATTTTTCCATGCATTTTTGGGTCTATGAATTTTTAAGCACATTTCAGCCAGAAGACATGTTGAAGTCATACTCGTAAAACAGCTTGGCTTGGGCTTTACCAACCTGATTTTCAGAAGTATGTTCAATCTCACATGCACAAGGTAGACTCTTAAAACAGTCTATAATAAAGTGTCACAAACCAAGACACATACACACACTTGTGGCAAAAATGTGATGCGTTTCATTTAACTTTTAACAGTGGCGGAATATGCAATTCCTCTGCAAGACTTAAAACTTTCATAAAAGTGAAACTTTTACATTCACAGCAACATCTTAGCAAATTCATATGTGGCTTCAATTAAAATAAACGTAAAATACTTTTTTAATAAAACTGAAGGAATGGCAATTTAAATATCTATAATAAAGAGCAGCACACAGTTACTGTTTTGCAGTTATAAGTTAGTTTAGTAATGTCTACTTGAGTATGTGGGGGTGGGGAATTTTTGCACCATTTTGATCTGATTTTTAATTGTTGGTCTATATATTGGATGGACATATTTGGCTATTGCATCAGGTCTCACAGCTTTTGCACCGTTGCACACCATTATCATTCCATTTTACAGATGAGTGTAAAAAAGTAAATATAATGAACAAAATTTTTAAATTTTTTTGTTAATTACACAAATAGAAAAATAAATATTAAACATTACATTATAATTCAGAATCAAACTTGTATAAATTAAAACAAAGATTTAAAAAAAAAAAAAAAAAAAAAAAAAATTAAAAAAGGGGGTTTTGTGTATCTGTGTATAGTCATTACTGCATTTCAATCTGTATGAAATGTTCTGAAGTAAAAAAAAAAAAAACAGTCAGGATGCAATTACTGTTCTTCATGATCGATCACTGTTGTCACTTCAGAGTACCTAGATACTGGTGCTCATCCTGTTACTACAGCCACCATTGAAACAGGACATATCCATATTGATTCAGACACTCACCAAGTGGCCAGTATAAGGGCCTGTTCCTCAGCGTTGAGGTCTGGAAGTTCATATTCAGATGGTTCTGCCAGGTTAACCTGGTTCAGGACTGTATCATCACTCAACTGATGATCCTATAAAGACACACAGACAGACACAGGCATGAGAACCAGAGCGGATCCCAAAAAGACCTTAAAAGGTGTATGACAAATACAGATCACAGTTTAGATAAGTGAAAAAGGAGAGAGAGAAAGTAAACAACCATTTAAAAACTGTTTTATCAGTTATAGCAACATGACATATTTATTATTGTATTATGAGCAGCTTTAATAACATTGTCCATCCTCTTATCGAACTTCACATTATTAAAGTATAATAAAACAAGCCTTTAGCTTAATATAATCCCTTTAGAAGGGTTATTTCCTGAAATATTACCTGAAATGAGAAAACGATGCTAGCTCATGCATCAAGAAATCAATCATAGTCAGCATTGATACTTATTAGCTGGGGTGGGGCATATGCAAATGAACATGTTCCTCTGCTTTAGCCTATTTAAAATCTAATTTGTTGACGTTCAAATTCAATTCCCATGAAATGAAGTCTGACAGCTCTCACGCACAGATACTCTACCTTCACACAAAGACAAACGACAACCAAGACCCACTGGAGTGCTATCAGCTCAGAGTTTGTAAGCAATATTGATCTGATCACATTTAATCTGAAAACTCAAGCCATCCTGGAAAAAATTATTTAATGCACTTTTTAGGGCCACAACACATAAAATGATGCCAGGTAAGGGGAAACGGAGATAAGGTCGGGAATTTTCCGTAAAATCTTTTGTCTGTCCCCAATTTGTCATCTTTGCAGCCAAAGCAGATAACACCAGACAGAGCAATGCCACTGCACAGAACAGCCAAACACCAGATAAAACTCAACCGCCGTCCAAAAAAGTGCAATAAAAGTAAAGTAACTGCCTCAGGGTGAGGGGAGAGAGACAGCGTGAGGAAGACGGGAAAGAATGGGACAGATGGAAATCTGCATAATATTTATTTTTCACGACCTTCACTGCAGCTCAATGTCACGTCTGCTGTCAGCACAAGAATAAATGTCGCCCCCTGATGGATGGGATAAGTACTGCACCATTCTTGCCCCCACAGGGACTGTGACGGGTATTTATGCACCAGGGGCCAAAATGATCACTCGTCAAGTGCCAAATAAGAGTAGAAAATGTAGAAATGACCATCGTTCATGTAAGTCATGCATGTGATTCCAATGACATACGAATAGTAAAATAAAGAAAAGATATATACTCATATTACATATACTCATCTTGCATATGATGCTCTGGTGACAACAGCTAAATAATTTCATTGTAACAGAACAAATACAATAAAATCAATTAAATTAAATATAAACTGAAAAAAAAAATGTTTTATAAAATCGTCTATGATTTCACTCAATTCACCTGCCATTGTCATGACATTAAGATCATTTTAGACCCTCCATGTACCTTTGGTAAGAGTTCTTTAGGTGTTGGTGTGAGGCAGGGACTCTCAAAATTGGGAACAGGTGAATTGTCCTTCCGTTTCACATCTAAGATGAGTTGAGCCACAAAGTTCTCCTGAAAGCGAGTTCTCTTCCCTAAAGCACCTGAGAGAGACAAACAGTTATTTAATCATTCATGCATTCCATCAATTCTTTACTCATTCACACTACTGGGTAATCCAATATTTTCTTTAAATCATTCATCTTCCTGTTACTTCAGTCACGCACTGCCGTTTATCCATCCATCCAACCTGCACAGAGCAATCATTTTTCTTGACATTACATTACATTTCTTACCTGTCATGTTAACATCGACTCCTGATAGACTGCGGGCCGTCTGCAGGTGTTCTTTGGCCCTGCGATACTCGTAGTAGGTCAGGCAGGTATAACTACACTCCAGGTGGAACTGAATGGCCAGGTTCTTGTGTCTGTTGTTGGTGAAGAGCTCCTCACATTTACACACTACAGAAACAGAGTACCAGTCCATTAGTGACAAAATCTACATTTTTACACATTCATCTATATATTCAGCATTTATTATACTGCCACATATCTCCAGAGGACAATGCTAAATGGTTGCATAATGCATTGCACATTTATAGATGGATAATAATTCTGATTATCAGATACAGTATGAGGTTGCACTGCAAGGGAATAAACCTACTGCCTATATTATATCACTATCGTTAGTATATGTCTGGATACCCACAGGGACCTAAACTAAAAACAAAGGAGGAAGAAGGAAAAGAAGGAAGGAATAAAAAGTGGAAGGAAAGTGGATATGAAGAACGAAGGAAGAACAAAAAAGGAAGAAAGGAAGGACAAAAAGAGGAAGGAAGGAAGGAAGGAAGGAAGAAAAATGGAAAGGGGAAGGAAGAAAACCTAACTGAATAAATAAAGGTTCAATTTAAATTCCTTCGCTCAGTCCATAGCTGTACATCCACTTTCACCAATATTGTATGTATGAAAATGTGAACGCTAAAGAACCTTCATAAAGCTCAGCTTACACACTCACTGTGACCTTCAGCGTGATCTGTGTGAGGATCTGAGTGTTTTAAAGCCCCTCATTGCAGATGAAAGCTCACTTAGCATGGGAAAGCAGCACCTTTCCTCGCATACACTAACAGCTCCAGATCATTTATGGGCGAGTCACGCACATGTATTTGCGTGTGCAGAACTAAGAGAACCGCTCATTTCTTACCTTTCACAAAGCGATGACACACAAACAGCAATTAGCTCTTGTTAACAAAAAAGAAAGCTGCCGGAAAAGCAGTCATAAAAATATCACAGAGAGCCTCAAGTATATGCTGACTAAAATAGCTGAAATTATAATTTTGAATTTATCATACATGCAGCCTACTTTCAATGTCACATCTTCAAATGTCATCAAATGAAAGCAAGTATCTCTGCCTGTGTGTTAATTTAAGAGGGGGAAAAAATCAACTATGTTTGAGGTTTTATTCTAGAAAGTGAAAGAACTGACTAATTGCGTACAGATATGATATGAGATTATATTTTTGTGTAGTTGGACATTTACATTTACATTTAGACATTTAGCAGATGCTTTTATCCAAAGCGACTTACAAATGAGGACAATAAAACACATACAAATGAGGACATGTTAAACAAATACAACTGATTATGCATTTTATTTATTTATTCATTTAATTATAATTTCTAAGTAGTAGTACATTTTAAATTAATATTATTATTATACATAATTATGATAATTGTGTAATTGTACTTATGTTTGTTAAGTACAATTAATTACAGTATTATTATCATCATTATCATTATTAAATAATAACAACAACAGTAATTGTATACTGACAACTCTCAGTATCAGAGTGAAACTCTGGATAACCTGGACTTTTTAAAAAATATTTAAATCATTTAAGCAACACATTTAACCAGTCCAAAGACTCGGTCACAAAGTAGTGGCTAATTAAAATCAACACATCATGCAACTCATAATTTTTAATTGATTGACAGCCCTACTGAATACTCTTAAACCTTTGCTACAGAATATTAAAAACCACTACCAAATCTGTTACCTACAGACGCCTTCATGAAAGCAGTCACCGGTGAAATCCCAGTACAGGCTTGACATTTACTAACCACAATGATGAAAGGCCTGGACCAATTTCCACTCACCCATGTAACTCACTGAATGTAAACGCTGATTAAAAAATAATTCACCTTTATTATTTACCAACTCATAAAATGCGCCATTGACTTCAAAGTCAGTGATAAATAAGAAAAAAACTGCTCAGACAAATTTGCTCGAAACATAAACCCTATTGAAATCTCATCTCGTGGTTAAGCCTGAGTGCAGCTCTTGAAGTGAAATATTGTTCTGAGAAATCCTTTCTCCATTTCTGACCATTTTCACTTTGTGAAATGCAAAAGTACTCAGTGTCCTGTGAGTACATGAGTAAGTAATGACTGCTAGGGTAAACCTATCACACAGTGTACTTTTATTCAGACTGAATTGAACTGTGTAGAACATCAGCTTTTCTTATTCACAGTGCACAGTTAAAGCATGTAGAGATGCAGTCCATAATGACATCTGGTCAGCAAGGATGGATTATGTTCCTGTGAGGCCCTCAGTGGGAGATGTACTAACAAAATTAGATAGCAAATATGACGAATAAACTTGCAATTGCAAGATATAAAGTTGCATAAGAGTTACACATTGCAAAAGAGACAACAACGCACCACAGCTAGTACAACTAGAAAGCTGCAATAATGTGTTTGTTAATGCTTAAAAGGGAGTCATGAACACATATCACTTTATTTCACAGGTGGCAACATACACTCACATGCATTCAAGCAGAGAAAAAAAAAAGGTCCCAGTCTCTCGTCCCATTGGACCAGTCCACAAGCCATCCATGCTGCTCAGACTGGGAAAGCAATTGCAAACCAGATATTTCAGATATTCCCTTCCACACTCAGCTCAGCCAGCTAGATTAAGGACAAAGCAAACCTGTATAGCTGTTTGAGTAATGACTTTAACAGTCCAGAGGATTTGAGAGGCAGGTGTGTTGATTGTTTAGATGTAGCCATTCCTGCAGCAAATTGATGCCCGGAGGCTAAAAGAATGTGTGTGTGTGTGTGTGTGTGTGTGTGTGTGTGTACGTGTATGGTTATACATGTGTGTACGCATGAAGGGCGAAACGGCCATGTAAAGATGGGTTTCCTGATCAAACAAAGCAGTTACAGATAACTATAACATCTTTTTGTCTGGTATAACTCTGGAGCAGAGTTTCCCACTCAGACAAGCTCTATGCTGATTAATTTTTTTCCTAAAACACGCCAAAAATATGAATTTTAAGTCAACTAAGCAAACTTTGTTGAAAATTAAAGGGATAGTTCACCCAAAAATGAACGATTCTGTCATTTACTCACCATCAAGTTATTCCAAACCCATAAGACTTTAAGGTTAATCTTCGAAACAAAAACTAAGCTATTTTTAATGAAACCTGAGCAGTTTCTGTCCCTCTATCGGAAGTCCAGGTAAGCAAGATCCAAAAAGATGTCATAAAATGAATCCAGCTGTTTAATCTAAGTCTTGTGAAGAGATACAATCACTTTATCTGATGAAAAGATTTAATTTAGGCTTTTATTCACAGATAAACATAACTAGAATGCATCACATATGTGACCCTGGACCACAAAACCAGTCATAAGGGTCAATGTTTCGAAATTGAGATTTATACATCACCTGAAAGCTGAATAAATAAGCTTTCCATTGATGTATGGTTTGTTAGGATAGGACAATATTTGGCCGAGATACAACTATTTGAAATCTGGAATCTGAGGGTGCAAAAAAAATCTTCTTAGCAATGCATATTACTAATCAAAAATATCTTCATGGAACATGATCTTTACTTAATATCCTAATGATTTTTGGCATAAAAGAAAAATCTATAATTTTGACCCATACAATGTTTTTTTTGGCTATTGCTAAAAATATACCCCAGCGACTTAAGACTGGTTTTGTGGTCCAGGGTCACATATGGTAAACATGCCAGAACAAACCTCATTGCCGCTTGTGCATAACACATGCATGTTTGACCTTCCGTGTTTACTATATGTAATGTGTTCCATGTATGTGTGTGCATCGTTGTTTAGACGTAAATAAAAGCCAAGATTAAATCTGTTCATCATACAAAGTTATCAAATCTCTTTACAAGACTTAGATTAAACTGCTTGATTCAACTGGATTTTACAAAGCCAAGCAAGGCACACCTTACAGATCACGTTCGAGCAGTTCGAGAGGAATTCATCTCGTTTGTAAGACTGCTGTTATTTGTGAAGAGAATATTAGATATTGTTTGTTCCTTCTGGTCGATACAGTCTGCTTCACAGTGTTAGTAATCCATGAACAACTAGCAGTTAATCAATGCTAATTTTACAACTCTGCAGGCATTCAGGTTTAGAGAGCTGCTCTTTCAAAACACAAAAAAAACATTTTAGCTGATGGGTTCCACATAAGGCAGTAGTTCTTTTTTACTTTTTCAAGCACTCTTCAGGACTAGAAAATAAGACACCTTTTATGAAAGCTAATCAATACTTTTGTCAGATTTTGCAACCTGATCATTTTGAATAATGGACCAAATTGTTGCAAAAAGTTTTCCCAAAGTAAAATGAGCTTTTTGCCATTTTCTTTCAAATTTGTCAACGCTTCTGCTAAATAATGAAAAACGCTCTATTAAAAAAAAGATGGTATGTGTACTTTTTAATGTTTTGTTTGCAAATTAAACTAATTAAATTGCAAAAATCCATAACAGAAAAAATGGCTTTTAAAATGTTTTTTTTTTTTTTTAAACATTGCTGTAATGAAGGAATTCATCCAAAAATTACACTTTTGCAATCTACTCATCCTCATGCTAATTTCTGTCTTCCTGTTGAACACAAAAAAAAGCCGAATAAGGGAGGCAATTGTCAATACTAGTCAACTGTCAATTTTTTGTCTAAAAAGGTAAAAATGAAATTCTCCATACACCTCGTCTCCTAAAGTCAAACGACAGCCATTTCAGGAAGTTTGAAATAGTCATTATTCATATAAAATCTTGCATTCAGCCACTGAAATGTAGCGAATATATACATGCAAAAACATCTTTGTATGCAAACGGAACAGACACTTCACAGGTTCCAGAATATATCGTCTATATGCCAGGTTTGATTTGGCAGACATGATTTCAATTTCCCTCAAAAATATGGCTTCTCATAACTTGAAAACCACAGGCGTAAGCTATACTTGAAAATGAAGAATGAACAAAGATATGGAAACCTTAAAAATTGTTAGTCCTACACTACTCATGTATGGTATAAAGTCCATGTCCAGATATTCAACTTCATGTTATTTCCATTTAAAACGGTATAAAATGCCTCTGAGGCCGGGCAGTCAGTGTCGGCTGAAATGAATCCCTGGCGATCCCCTAAATTCCCCACAACACTCTGTGAAGGACAGTGAACGCTTTTGGCAGTCAATAGTGGAACTGACAACACACCTCAGCAAGATGTTATTTCAGCTTTGAAAGCTTCACAAATATAACATCATTCTGCAAATTCAGCCCAGCATGCCATGAGAGACAGGCATGATGTTAGGATCTTTTGAAGCAGATCCACTCACTAATACAAGACAGAATTATCGCCTGTATCATCCTATTGTAAATATCGCATCTTAACATCTCTGCTGATTATCTATATTGGGGTGTAGCTGATGTGTGTCTGATTAAAAGGCAGCACAGGAAACTCATTCTGAAGGCAAAGGAACCCAATTAAGATGCTGCTTTGCTGCAGAGCTCATCATTTGGTCTGTGATTCCCTGGTGAATCCACATTAACATCCAAAACTCTTCAGAGGAATGGGTCTATATCCTGCCACTAAAGCAATGCAATCTTTGACTTGCTTTTTCACCCTCAAACACCATTTCAAGGGCATCTACAATGAATGCTTCAGTTCACACAAAGTACTAAAACGAAAGTGCTACCTCATGTTTGATGCTGAGACCTTTTAATTTCATCAAGATGTTGAATATTATGATACATTTGCAATTCATAGTATTTTCAATCTTGAATTAATTATAAACTGAGCAGCCTATCGGCAACATAACACTTTGTCCTCTGCACAGCCCCTGTGGCCAACTTTGACAGCTCTACCATATGATGTATGCCAATCTTCAAGCAGAAGAAACTGGATGAATATTCAGAATGAGTTTGGATTCTGGACACGGTCGCCTCTATCTTGCTTGGGGACACTTAATATTCAGCAATATTATTGACTTGACCGCACAGACACTATTGGATGAGAACTGAACGGAGCTGAACGATGACATGACTGTTTTCTACAGAGCTGCTTTACAGATGAATTGAAGTCATTTCATAAAAGAGGATCTTTACACAGTTAACAATGACACTATTGTTTTTTTAGAGCTGCTTTACAGTAGAATTGGTCTCTGTTTGCACCATTGAATAATTAATCTCATATACTTAATCTTTTTCCAAAGGTGGGGGTAGGGGCTTTTTTTAATTATCTGAGCAACTGAATGACTCCCAATCAACTCTTTGAGATGGAGGCATCCAAACGTCTGACATCTCTAGTAAAAAATGCTTTGATTTTTATGATATTACTTAAAAAAAATAAATTAAAAAAAATAAAAATTCTTAGCAGCATCAAAAAAAAATTTTTTTTTAATGTTTTCTTTTCTTTTTCCCCCTTTTTTGGGTTCATTTTTTATATATTTTTTGTTTTGTAACAAAATATTAAAACTCTTTTGATCTGTCCCCCTGAGATTCTGAATTCCAGACATTTAGACTGGAATAAAATTTAGATTGAATAACTGCCACATATATATATATATATATATATATATACACACAT